TCTGTCTTTCTATCACTGTCTCTTTCTCTTATGAAAGAAATAATTACATAAACTTGAAAAGAATGTAAGTTGTGACATTCTGGTTAAGAGTGAAAACTAGAGTAAGATTCTTACGGTGCAGGTCTCAGCACCAATATTTGCTGGCTAGGGGATATTGGGCAAGTTAACCTTTCTGTATCTCAAGGAGTTATTTGGTTTATTAAAAGAAAATAGAGGGACCAGCAATTAGTGCAATGGCTATGTCGCTGGACTCCCATGTAGTCGACCGCGGTTTGCGTCCTGGACCCGGTGGTTTAAACTCACAGCGGGCGCGTGTGCGTGTGTGCCCAAGATCCCGAGAGGAGACTGGAGGAGAAGAGATTGCAGCATGGCCATCCCCCCTAGGGGGTGATTTCTCGCTTTCTGTCTCTCTGTCTCTGTCTGGCAAGCGCACATGCCCTATAGCAAAAACCTCTCCAAAAAAAAAAAAAAAAAGAGTAGATATCTAGCCTTGCTAAATGTTCAAATGATGGCAATTTTATTAGTGTGAAGTCTCATCTTCCCCATTATCTGAAAAGTCTGGGTTTTAATCATGAGATTACTGATAATATCGCTTAGTTTTGTGAAGGTTAAGAGCAAAGGTCCTTCCTTAACAGATATAGTATAATTTGAATCACATTCTTATATAATACCCTAAGCTTAATTATTTCCCAAACTGTTCCTTGGAGCATGATCCTTGAGTAAGTATTTATTATTTATTTAGGAATATGGTCTATCCTGAGAAATGCTATATATATTGTCCTCTTTGTCAAGATTCATAACAAGGTTACTAAGGCCCTGATTAGAAAAAAGTTTAACTGAGGATTTTCCAAACTTACTAGATTGTAAGAGTCCTTTTCCAGTTCATATATCAAATTTTATGTATTACATATTTATATACCTTAGTGTTTATTTAGTTCAGGCATCTTTTTTATTCACTCACATTTAAATAGTCACGTTTATTTAAAAAGTTTAAATTGGGGTACAATTCACATACCATCAAATTCATCATTTTGAAATATTCCGTGGTTTTAAATATATTCTCTTCATGAGGACACGTAACAACCGCCTCTGTCTAATGCAGAACATTTCCCCAGCCAAAAACGAAGCCCCTACCAATCGGCAGCCCTTTCCTATTCCCTTCTTCCTCTGCACCCTGGCAACTGTGTCTGGACATCTCATATAAATAGAATCATACAATATATGGCCTTTTGGGTCTGCCTTTTAAAAAAAAGTTATTTTTAATGAGAGTGAGAATGAGAGAAGAGACAGGCACGCTTCAGGGGGTCTTTCACCACAAACCCACCCCTCTCCCTCCCCAGCTTTCCTAGGGAGCCAGACGCATGGGCGCGTGTGCAGGTATGTCCACGTCTGCGGGCAGCGGGCCTGCGATCCGTGTGCGCCGTCTAGCTGACGTGTGCCTGGCTTTTCTACTCAGGCAAGGCGTCTGCAGGGTTCAGCCATGTGGTAGCCTGCTCTTCATTCCTTTATCTGTTCATCAGATGATGGGTATTTGGATTAGTTCTACTCTTTGGCTTTTATGAATAACGTTGCTGTTAATGCTTGTGTATAATTTTTTGTGTGGATCTGTGTTCTCATTTCTCCTAGACAGGCGTCTAGAGGTGGATGTTGGATTATATGGTAACTGTGTTTAACTTTTTGAGGAATTGTCAGAAGTTTTCCAAAGTGATTATACCATTTTATATTTCCATCAGCATTGCATGAATCCTCACCAACATTAGTTATTTTTGCTCTAAAATTTTTTTATTACAAGCCCATGTGGAGATGGGCTTGTCGCAATCTCTTCTCTATTTTCCTCTTGGGATTTTGGGATTTGGAGCACACATGCTTACTTGCCCTGCATGGGTTTTAAGCTGCTAAGTCTGGGACTTGAATCACGGTTGACTACTTGAGAGCCCAGCGACATAATCATTATGCCATCTGCTGGTCCTATCGTTTTGTTTGTTTGTTTTTTAGAGATTTTTGCTGTAGGGCATGTGCTCTTGCCAGAGAGACAGAGAGTGAGAAATCATACCCTAGGGGGGATGGCCAAATTGTAGTCCCTTCTCCATTCTTCTCCCGGGATTATGGGCATGCATGCACATGCGCCCGGCATGAGTCTTAAGACTCTCAGTCTAGGACTTGAACTAGTTGACTATGAGAGAATCCAGTGATGTAACCACCATGCCATCTTCCGGTTTCCTTATTTACCTATTTTAAAGCTTGTGTTTAAGTGGTTTTTCTTCAACACCATCTCTAAAGGAGGTAGCGTTTGAGTTTTGGACAAAGTTGGCCAAGTAACAAAAGCAAGGGAATTTTGTGTCTCTGAAGTCCATGTTGTTTCTATTCCCTTCCTCTTCGTTGTTTTAAAAAAAATAAAAATGCAAATGTTATTATAAGAACAGATTTCGGACCAGCCAGTGGAGTGGTGATTGGGGCGATGACTGGGTTCCACATGGCGGGCTGCACGGGTGAAGTGCTGGGCCCTGGGGCTCGGAGGGCGTGCTGGGCATGTGTGCAAGTGTGCCCAGACTCCAAGGAGGGCTTATGTGGGGGGATTCCAGCATGACCTTCTATGGGAGGGATGCTCGCTCTCTTTCTGCCTGGTGAGCGCACGCACCTTCTAACCAAAGACAAAACAAAACAGAACGAGTGTATTTCAGTGATCTGTAATTTAGGTGTTTAGAGGGCTGTCTCGTTTTAGTATAGACCGTGCCGGGTTGGCCACATGCGGCCGTTAGTAGGAGGAAGTTGGCATTTCTGAGTTAAATCTCTAAGGGAGACCGCAGGTACAAAGCTTAATATTCGTGGACGTGAAAATCTCTACACCACTACTGCTGTAGCTTTCTTAGATTACAGGGCTCTGAAAACTTTGTTATTTAGTTTAAAAATGTGTCTGGTATCTATTGAAGCATAATTTAGCCTTGATGTCTTTTTTTTTTTTTAAATGGTGTCTAATTAGAATCACGGGTATAGAAGATACTTAATTTGAAGCGAAGAATTTTTTTTTAAACATAGAAAAATTCATGTGCCCTGAACATGCCAGTGGTTACGGCTTAGTGGGTAGATAGTAATTCATTTTGTAGGGTGTTTGCTACTCTAAGGCCAGTTACACAGGTTGGGAAAATGACAAATTAGGGTTGTTAAATAGGAGTTAAACTGTTAAGCCTTTTCCCATTAAGAGCCTTTGATGACTTGCCAGGCAAAACGTTTCTCCTTCCCTCACGCTTTCTTTTCTTCAGGCATTGTGGCCCTGTTTGCCTCAACTTCCACCACGAGCTCCTTTAGGACAGGGCGTTATTATCTTCCTCTATTTTCAGCACCTAGCATAATCACCTAGCACGCAGTAGACACTTGCAGACATTGGCTGAGTGACTGTTTTGAGACTCCCACACAAATACCGCAGCATGAGGAGAAAAGAACTGCTGTGATTATCAGAGAGAAGAATCTGAATCAGAGTTAGCATGTGGCCAAGAACAGAGGAAACCACTACAAGGTAGAAACCAGAGAGAGGATTTGTAAGTTTCATGTGGTGCATCAAGGTGTTTCCTTTATTCGTGATAGATTGTATGCAGGCTTGAGAGAGAGAGAGAAGGCCAGGGTCTGGTCCCATCACAGTCCCTTCCTTCACTTCGCTAGCCCCCCAGATCTTTGGTGCTTGTGTGTCCCGGTGACCTTCAGGGTGACTAGTCGAGGGCTGGAACTGTGGTTTCCTTTGGGATCTGACCTTTTCCAAATACTGTATTACTGCTGTGCTATAAGCCAGTCAAGCCATTTTCTTTCTTTTTTTTTTTCTTTTTTAAAAAATATTTATTTATTTAATTCCATTTGTTGTTATTATCATTTTTAAATTTTGACCATAGAGAGACAGAGAGAAAGGGAAAGCGAGAAAGCAAGCCTCCAGGTCTGGGACTCGAACCGCGGTTGGCCATGTGGGAATCCAGCGCTCTTAACCACCATACCACCTGCTGTCCCTGTCCAAGCTATTTTCTGATCACATTTCCTTGGGACTTTCACTCATGGACTAAAATTCACTTGCTTTTTTGTTTTGTTTTGTTTTTAATTTTAATTTTTAAAAAGATTTTTGCCATAGGGCATGTGTGCTTGCCAGAGAGACACAGATAACAAGAGAGAAAGTGAGAAATCAGTCCCCAGGGGGTATGGCCACACTGCAATCCCTTCTCTTCCATTTTCTTCCATGGACCTTGGGCATGCATACACATATGCCTGGTGTGACCTTCAGGCCACTAGGCCTGGGACTCGAACTGCCGTCTGCCATGTGGGAGAGCAGCATCTTAGCCATTACTCCACCTGATGGCCCCAGAACTCACGTGTTTTTTAGCAGCATAAAGGCATGAAAGTTGTGTGGCTACAGAAGCATGCAGTTTGTTTGTTCATTTATTTATTTATTATTTTATTTGAGAGATTTTTGCTATAGGGCGCGTGTGCTCGCCAGAAAGAGAGAGACAGAGGGACAGAAAGTGAGAAATCAGCCCCCAGGGGCGATGGCCATGCTGCAATCCCTTCTCCTCCATTCTCCTCTTGGGATCTTGGGCGCGCATGCACACATGCCTGGCCTGAGTTGAAGCCATTGGGTCAGGGAATCAAACCACGGTTGACTACGTGGGAGTCCAGCGACATAGCCATTACGCCAACTGCTGGTCTCGAAGCACGCAGTTTAATACAATGTAATCTCGCCATAGCGGAGCCATGGGTATAGAGTATTACCCTGTGTGAGAGGGAGTGAGGGAAATCTTCATAGGAGGTAGTATTTTAGCTGAATAATAGGCAAGAGAATGCACCTCCTAGGGAGAAATAGTCTGTGAAGAGAGTCTTTACGGAACACAGGCGTCTAGGACTGGAGGGAGAAAGACCGCCCAGTACACATGGAAGGTGGTGTTCCTTTGCTCCCTGTCCTCTTATCTGACTGGAAGTTGGTTTTGGTTATGTTTTATAAAACTGAGTTTTCTATTACTTTTCAGGCAGAGGCAAGGCTGGCAGCGAAACGGGCTGCCCGGGCAGAAGCAAGAGATATACGCATGAGAGAACTGGAACGGCAGCAGAAAGAGGTAACTGGGGAGTACGCCTCGTTTGATGCTAGTGCCCCTGGAAATGAGTACTTGGCTGGTGCACTCCTGGTGCTGGTCTGCTTCCCCCGAAAACAGAGGACACTTTAACTATTGACAGATGAGGTATTTTAAGCCATTCCATGTCAGCAAACTAAATGTACTATTTGTTTTAAATAACTGGGGCAACACAAATATAACTCTTAAGTACGTTGTTAGAATTTGTTACAGTGTTATAAATGTTTTATTTATGTTAACTGAAGTAGGCTTAGAGAGAACAGTTACTTAGGATAGACCTTTCTGTCCTGAAATTTGTATTAATTATGTTATGACCTCTATCTGGTAATACACAATTCAACCTTACGATTTTGAAGCATTTTCACAATTATTTATTTTTACATTCATTCATGTGCATCATTACAATATACCAAATGGATTTTCCCATCTTGAATACACTGTACCTTGGTTAAGTTAAAGGTATTACCATACAGATTACCATCAACAGATCATTTTCCATCTGTGTGTCCCTTAAATATTTTGCAAACGCAAACTGGTAGGACTCCAAGTTTGTGTTATAAAAACTAGTATCCACATATAGAATGAAAAACTACCAGAAACAAGTGATTACTGTAAGTACTTTGGTTTGTGTATGGTAGAATTATGGTTGGTTTTTCTTTCTTTTTTCCCCCTTGCTGTAGGGCGTTTGCGCTCACCACAGACAGAGAGAGAAGGAAAGTGAAAAATCACAGTAGTGGGATTGGCCTTGCTGCGGTTCCCTCTCCCCCAGTCTTTTCTTAGGACTTTGGGCACACGCACACGCACCCAGTGTAATTTTCAAGCTGAATTGCTCAGTTGGCCATGTGGAATCCAGTGCCTTAACCTCTGTGCCATCCGCTGGCCCAGTTTTGCCTTTGTGTGTGTGTGTGTGCTTTTCTATAGTTTACAAATTTCCAATATGCTTTTATCATCAGAATGAAAAGCAGAAAAGAGTAAAAAAAAAAAAAATCAGGTACATGGAAATCAGGCTGACAAAAATAAAACAAATATTTATTTTTTTCATCTTTCTTTTTGTCATTGACTTAGTTCTGAAACTTCTTGTAAAGGTTTTTTTTTTTTAAGTAGGTGAAGGGGGAGAAATCTATTACAGTGTTAAACACTTTGTTCCTATATTGCTGTTACATTTTCTGCCCCTGGGTTAAAAAGTTGCTCATTGTAACAGCTAAATAAACCAGAACAGTTGACATGTTCCTAATTTAATTTCAAATACAGTTTTAAATATTGAGTAGAATTCTATTGATTTGAAATGTTGCAATGCATTGTATCTCATACCCCTAGAATTATACTAAGTAACAAGTGGAGGAGACCATTATTCCTCCAAACTGCTGAGAACCATGCATCTGTTTATGGAACGTATTTAGCTTGTAATTGTCTGTGTTTTGAATGTGTCACTTTGATTCAGCTATCATTGCTCTTTAAGGCACGTGTGTCAGAGTAAGGCTTAGTAGAGAATGCGCTATGTTGAAAACGGTTCATTTTACGAAACTTTTACATTTGTAGCACTCTCATCACTTCTCTGATCGGAAGTGGGGACAGATTCAGAAGTGGCTGGTAGGCCAGGATTGCCTGTCCTGCATGTTGTGATCAGTTGCTGAAATAATGCAGTCTTAAAGTAAAACATTCACTAATGGTTTGCAAAGTAGGAGTGTCTGACCTGTGTGAGCCTCAAGGTCAGAGTGTCTCTTCTGCCTGCAGTGGGCCAGATGGTGCGTGGAGTCTCCCCGCTGTGGTCGTAGTCTGACCTTTATCTTGTGAATGCTTCTGATCAAGAAAGACCGACTACATGAATGCGTGTTGTCTTTTTTTGAGTTTTTCCTTTTCTCCTTCAGGCCCCTCCTTTCTCTCCCACCACTTAAGAACTAAACGAAACGAAATAATTCATACGATTGTCACTGCGATATGATCCAAGTCAGGCTTTGGTTCCCTCTGAAAACTACACTTATTATTTTAGCTCCCTTCAGTTCTTTATTAAATTCTCTACCACCACTCTCAAATTTGTTAGCTACAAAAGCAAGTTGTTTTATAGTGAAACATTCCTAGATGTGAACTTTTCAAAGTTGATAAATTCCCCAACTGTCTCCTATTGCGAGGTCTCTGAATTTGGTATGTGACAGGCTTGGGAGATAGAGTAGAAAGCTTTAAAATCTCATGTAATCTTATGAGTGTATGTACATTTTCACGAGACATGTCCACAAGTATTTTTGTTACCAGATTTTCAGAGGAATCTGGCTCCTGAAGGATTAAGAACTACAGTTTAATTGCTGCTAACAAGCAACTTTTGTAAACAAAATTTCCCTTTTATAGCAGCATTTTAAGATATTACCAGAATTAAAATATTTCTAACTGTAAGGACCTTCAAATTTAATTAGATAATTTTTATTGTGATAATTGTTTTAGAAAAGAGAGGAAAAAGATGTTTGGTTACCTAAAATTAAAGTAACTTCTAATGTATGTGTTTGTTATTTTGGAGTGGAATCTTTCTTGTTACTAAATTACAAGCTTCATTAACTTATTTGAAGTGCTGCATGCAATTGGGTTAATATTATTGATGATGTTTTATGTGAATACAAGAAATTACTGTGCGCCAGTAGGGGCCGAGACTTGAACCTAGTCAACTATGTGGGAGTTCAGCAATGTACCCATTATGCCATCTGCTGGCTCTGTTGTAATCTTTTCTGTTTAGCCATTGGTCCTATTAATGAAAGAAAAACCAATTGGCAAAGTTCTACTGTGGCAATACCTAGGAAATGAAGCTTTTTTTTTCTTCAGAGGAAGAGGAATCTCTTTTAGACCACTATCTTGCCATTTTCTTCTTGTGTTTGTTTGTGTTTTTTTGCTATGTAATTAGTGGAAACTTAGCCAGTGTAGGATATCCTTATGTTCAGTGGTCTTGTGAGTCAGAAGATCTGAATGCTGGTCTCAGCTTATGATCTTTTTTTTTTTTAATAGGACACTTGCACTTGCTAGAGGTAGGAAGGGAGGGGAAGAGAAAGAAATAGAAAGAAATCACCTTCCAGGGGTAGACGACCACACCACAGTCCCTTCTCCTGCAGTCTCCTCTCGCACAGGTGCCTGGCGTGTTTGTCACGTTCCTGGGTCCAGGACTTGAACGCAGTGGGGCATGTGGAATCCAGCCGCCTTTACCTCCATGCCTTCTGCAGGCCTCAGACCTTGTAGATTCTTACTTAATTCTTCCATACTACAACTTTTTTTACTGTAAAACGAAGGGATCAGGGTAAATCATCTCTAAGGACACTTCTAGCTCTTAAACATAATTCTAGAAGGGCCAGCAGGTGGCGTGGTAGTTAAAGGCACTGAATTCCCACTTGGCCGACCTCGGTTCGAGCCTCGGACCTGCTGACTTGCTTTCTCGCCTTCCTTCTCTCTCTCTCTCTCTGGTCAAATTGAAAAATAATAATAGCAAATAGAATTAAATAGATAAGGAAATAATTCTTGAAATAATTCTAGGGTTGCTGTCAATGAATGCAAGTTGTCTGCTTTTGCTGCATCTTTGATGGGGTGTGCTTTTTTTAAAAAAAAATCTTCTATTTAACTTTATTTATTTATTTATTTATTTTAATGTGACCAGAGAGGAACAGAAAGAGAGAGAGAGAGAGAGAAAGAGAGAGAGAAAGCAAGCCACCAGGTACAGGACTTGAACCATGGTCAGCTATGTGGGAGTCCAGTGCTCTTCAGGACCTGCTGGTCCCAGGCAAGTGCCTTTTAAAATGAGCTTTTAAAAAGTGTTCTTGTGTGGTAGGTAGAATGAGAAGAAAAGACAGACTAATAGGAAGATTAGACATTAAGGCATTATGTCACCCTCGTACCCCACATAATACTGGGAGGAGCATGTAGAATTAATTCGTCTCTATAGTAACAAGCTTTGTATGTATTTACTTATTTATTTAGGAGGTGTTTGCCTTAAGGTTGTGTGATTGCCAGAGAGAGACAGAAACAGAGATAGGGAGGGGAAAGTGAGAAATCACCCCCTTGGGGGGGGGATGTCCGTGCCACACTCCTCTGTCCTCCATTCTCCTCCTGGGGTCTTGGGCACGCACACACACGTACCTGGTGTGATTTTCAAGCCACTGATCCGGGACTTGAATCATGGTCAGCCACATTGGAGAGTCCAGTGACATTACCGGTGTGCCACCTGCTGGCCCAGTACCAAGCTTTTTAAAGCAATCAAGCTAACTATCCTAGAACTAGTTGCTGTGCCCACCCTGCTGGCTAACACATATGCTCCCCAAACTTGTGTGGTATCCCCTGGTAAATAGGAGAAATTTGCTTCGCTTCTTGCAGATTACACTGTGCGTTTTGCATTTCTTGTAAATCAGTGATGAATTCCTAAAGATCAGAGCACCTACTGAATCATGATGATGCCGAACAGCAGGCCGAGGCGCGGAGCCGATTAAACTCTCAGTGTACGCGGCAGAGGTGTCCACGACAGATGTTAGCCAGGATGATGGCCAAAATAAGACATGAAACTGTAGTGCTTCTGTTAAATGACAGTTTTTAGTTTTAATCGAGTGGTCAGAAAGAGCCACGTCCGTTTGTCACACATGTGTGATGTGCTGGACTGGCAAAGCATGTTGAGGCAGTGATTTCTTTTGGGCAAGATAGTGTTGATTAGCTGCGACCCCAGTGGGCACTTGTGTGTAGATTTTTAGTCAGTGCAGATGACTTTAACACTTCGGACTTTGAAATTCTGGAAGACTGGAAATTCCTTTAGTGGCAGGTGACTAGGTTCCAGGGACTAGCCATTTGGGAGCACATGCCTGAGGTCTTACTGCTCCATTGCTGATGGCTGAATGCAGAAAAGCTTGGAATTGCATTTAATTTACTTCTCTGTGCAGGCTGTCATTGTTCTGTCTTTTTTGGGGGGCGGGCATGATCTGCTGAAGGCATGATTATTAACTTTACTAACTCTAAAATAGGTATGTAAT